TTAATTGATACTGCGGCTTTTAATCCGGTGCGGCTTTTGGTCGTGAAAATACGGTATATCTTTTCTCAGCATAATTTACTTATTAGAGTTTAAATTGTCTTTGCTGAAGAGGTCACTAGAGTTTATCTTTTGTTTTCCTCACAGAAACTTTCACAACATCCAGAGCTAAGCAACAGCCAGCTTTTGGCTGACTTCTTATCCCGTAATGGTGGAGAGACACAATTTCTTGATAAAATACTGCCTGATGTAAATTTAGGTAAGGAAAGTGCTGTTATTGAAAAAAAAAATGGATTCAGAATTGAACTACAAATATAAGAGACATTAAATCAATTCAGGCTGCCACTCAGAATTAAGTATGGTTTAAGTATGGCACATTTGCATGACACAATAGTGATGTTTTCATAAAAGTATTAAGAGTTTTTCATTTAGTACTATAAATGGAAGCCAAATAAAGAGCTTTTGAAATGTCTGCACAAACATTGTTCTGGTTTTGTTTTGGAATCCTCAGATCATTAGATAGAAGTAGAAAAAGAACCGATCATTTTTTCTTTCTTTCTTTTTTAATTTTGTTAATTTTTTTTATTATGAACACATAAACACACTGACAAAACCATACACAACATTTATGCATCACATTGGAACTTTGTGTTCCTTCTTATAGCAGATAACTATTGGTGTATATTTACAAACACTTTTTCCCTCTCAATACATTTCTATACAATTTTACACTTTTAATCCCATTATTTATTTCTCTTTTACTTATCAATCTATGTTTGGATATTTGTATCAGACAGTATTTATTATTGTTCTGCTAATATACAATTTTTCCTAGACTTATTAATCCTACTTTTCTTAGACTTTTTTCACTAATTTCTACTACGTCTATAATACCAGCTATCTTTTCCAAATTTTTATTTCTTGTTTCTATCCTCCAGCCACCTGTACCATTTTTCCTCGATTGAATAATGCTCTAGAAACAGATCATTTTTATTGACCTCCAATAAATTCTGTCTGAGGTCTACGAACTTAATTTATCTGAGGAGTCTATTAACACTCTGAATCTTAGCTTCACATCTGAACACATGGTGGTGTTAAAGCGCTAAACAATGGGTAACTTTTCATTATGTTGTAAGAAGCATCTGTTTCATGAATTTAGATATGGAGTAAAGAAACAGGCAGCTGTTAGAAAAGTGACAAGAGAATTTAAAAAAAAATGTTGATAATGAAAAAAAATTCTATTTCTCCTTTTTCATCTTTTGGCATGTAGGTAAAATTATAAAATCTGTTCCCGGAAAATTAATGAAAGAGGTAAGATACCTTGTTTCCTTGTTATTTGTAAACACCATTTATCCCATATGGCTTGTATGGAAACCTATCCGTTCTAATTATTTTTGACATTAATTTCAGAAAGGCCAGCACTTGGAACCATTCATTATCAATTTTATTACCTCCTGTGAGTCTCCCAAGCCTAAACCAAGTAAACCAGAAATTACTATTCTCAGTCCTACTTCAGAAAACAACAAAAAGGTATAGTATGTCCTGTACAGGAACATAGAAGAAAAATAGACTAGTAAAAACAAATCTTCTAATAGAAGTATGACAGTAGTTAATAACTCACTTTATGATTATGATTAATATATTTCTGTTTGGGTGATTATTATTTTCTTGCATATCCCTCACAGATACATATTTATTATGGAAACCAATATTTGGCACATCTGTTAAAACAATAAAGGTTCTTGGTGCGCATCAAACCTAATATTGTAGAAATGAAATACTAATTATAACCTATTCTAATTTTTATTAACACTTTTTAAAATTATGATTTTGAGCCTCCAAGGACTAGGGTGGTAGAATCGCTGTGATAAAATGACATTATAGATTGGGCAGCTTTGACATTTTGGGCATTTTTACTTAAGAAATTTAAGGGGCCTACACAGAAAAAGCTTAGTTGATTTATCCCAAAAATGTTTTTTAAAAGACTTTGTTTTTTTCTTGAAGACTTTTCACTTTTATCCAAGAAGCTTCCTCAGCTCTGAAGAGAGGTGAAGAAGCTTCTTGGGTGAGAAGCAAAATGAAAAAGCACTTGAAAAAAACACTTTGGGACAGCCATGACCTGGCTAACTAAGAATCTCCATAGACACTTACTTGACTATATCTATCTATCTATCTATNTTTAAAAAAAAAGATTCCTCATTCACACTCACTGATGTCTCCTCAGACATTCAATCTTTAGTCCAAGGTAGAGGTACTTAATGAAGACTCAGGAGCAAAGAGCTGAACTTCAAAGATCTGAGAGGTTAGCTAAAAGGAATGGAAGTGCAAGCAGGGAGCAGTTTCTGCATCCCCCTGTGTGATGTGTCTCAGCTATACACCAGCTGGAAACTGAACGTGGCTTATTTATTGCAACCCTTCCCGCTTAAAAGCACCGAGAATAAATGTTCAAAGCTCAAATTGACCTGCATGTATGATCTGCAGCCCCATGTAGAGTGCATTATAAAAATCCAATCTTGAAGTAACCAAGGCATGAGTCATCCAGTCAAAGGAGAAAGTACAATTGGTTATTGCAGGTAATCAGAAGATTCTATACGGTAAGAAATATACTGGCTGCCCATTGTATATTTAAAGTGTCCCGCTAAAATGTTTTACAGAAATCAGCTGTTCGTTCAGTTGCCACCAAGAGTTATCCTTATGTAGAATAGGTGTTCGAGCTGACAAAGCATTCAGAGTCGGGCTTGAAGTTTGAATTCCTTTTGTTTGACTTGACTAACTTACATTTTGATGTTTTTTTCCCCAGATCTGATAGGTAAATGTATTGGGGAAGATGCAAAATATGAAGGCATAAGACTTCTATTTGATGGATTGCAACAGCCAGTACTTAACAAACAGGTGGGTTCTATTGAACACACTAAGCACCTATTGTATTTAAGAGTAGAATGTTTATCAGTTTTAATTTACAGTTTTGAAATGCTGTGCATCATTACAAGTGCATGCACAGCTGTCTTACATTAATAGCTGGTATGCAAGAACAACATGTAAAGAAATAATTTTCAAAGTTTTAGGAATGTATTTCCAAATACTGTTTCCGTAAGACAGCTGTATGGCTGAGAGAGCAGCATAAGCATAGCATTATTGTTTTTCTGCAGTTAAAAGCAGGAACATTGGTCAAAGAATGAAGCACTCCAGAATAGCAAACGTCATTAATGGGCTAAGTTAGTTTAAACTAGGACAAAACTCTTGGCATTTCCAGATTCAAGAGATTGGATGTGGCCAACAAAATGCTGTTTGTGTTAGTCATAGCCAATCTGTTTTACAATTGTATCTGTAAATGAAGATAATCTTTGTATCAGAGTGAAAGGGGGATGATTTATGAAATGGAAAGCTTGGAGATATGAGGAAGAATAAATTGAAGAATCTAAGCAGTATAATTTGCTGAGAAAAGATGGAAAAGGAGGAAAAGGGTGCAGAAGAAAAAGCAAAAAAAATAGAGATCAGGAATGGAGAACTTTAGAGATGAATGGATAGATGGATGGCCAAACATACCCAGGAAAGAACTGGTAACTGTTAGAGATTCAAGGCAGAAAATAAGAAATACTTAGAAGGCAAGAGTGGACATAAAGCAGGATGGACACAAAATATGGATGATAGGCACCAGTGGTTACTAGTTCTTAACTTCATGCTGCTGTCATTGGGGCTCTGACGCATTTCCTTTTGTCGGTATGTAGACTTAGGTTATTTTGAAAATTCTTAAAGATGGTTTGTAATTTACTAGTTAAAAGCTTACTGCGTTTTTTTAAAAAAAAATACTGAAATTTGACAATAGTTTTAGCTAATTTTTGAAGATTCTGATCATCTAATAAATGGTAATTCTTTGATTTGTTAAATTTATGCAGACCTTTCCATTTTAAGGTTATATTTTAAAAGTTCAAAATTGCAACTTTTTTTTGCATTTTATTTTTAGTTAACATATGTCTTACTGGATATCGGGATTCAAGAACTATTTCCAGAGTTGAATGGTATGTGGTAATACAAACAGTTCTAATATATCTGATCGATGTTGTAAAATACTAAAGTAGGCAAAATATTCTTTGAACGGAAGAATTCCTTCCTCTAATTATTAGGGGATTTTTCCTCAGAAAAGAACTAAAGGAATTAAAGCATTGTAGAAAAGATGAATTGGAGGGATTTTACTGTCTAGTTCAACCTCATTGCAGGAATCCATTAAACCATCCATGACAGGTGACATTCCGCACCACTTTGAAAAACCTCTAGTAAGGGAGAGTCCGCAACTTGTACTGGGAAGATTGTTTCATTGTTTAATGAGTCTTGGTGTCAAGAAAGCCCTCCAACCTGAATTGGGTTAATTGGACTGGACTTTTCAACCGTACTCTCCCCACCTTCATTGTAATATGAATGTATTTATTCAGCAATTATTAAATCAATGTTCATTCTAGAGCAGTGGTTCTCACCCTGTGGGTCGGGACCTCTTTGGGGGTCTAACAGCCCTTTCACAGGGGTCGCCTAAGACCATCGGAAAACACATATTTTCAAAAAAATACGGAAAACATAAAATAATTTTATGGTTGGGGGTCACAACAACATGAGGAACTGTATTAAAGGGTCGCGGCATTTGGAAGGTTGAGATCCACTGTTCTAGAGGCACCTTTGAGGTTTTATTATAATAAAATTTAATAATTATTAAAGTAAAATATAATTGCTTTAATGTGTCTCTGTAGTAGTGCAGCACTTAATTGTCAATTGTCAGCAATGACAATTGTTTCCTTTTGAGACAATGCAAAAAGAATAATTTTCTTTGTTACTTGTATTTGAATTTGTTTTGTTCGTCATCAATTTATTTCTGCACCCCACATTTTGTTACTTAGATTTAGATTTTATTCAGTTTGTATGCCGCCCTATTCCCGAGAGACTCAGNTATATATATATATATATATATATATATATATATATATTCTGAGGTTTTCGCGGGTGTTAGTATGTAGGTCTCTAGTTATTCGGGTTTTCTCCCGCGTAAGACCTACATATATATATATATAAAATTATATTTTGGCAGCTTTATTTGGGGCCACCAAAATAGCGAAAGGGAATTCCCACTGAATATACCCATAATTAATGAAAATTTGGTAACAAATTCCACAACATTCATGCTTTTCTAAAAATCTGATTTTCTCTGGCTTTAGCTTTACAACGAACTCTATAAGAACAATGCAAACCGTTCTGAGAATTTAGAAAGAAGACAGAATGAGAACTACTTCTTGAAGATGATGACGGTTGAAGGAGTTTATGATTACTTAATGTATATTGGTAAGAAATTGCTGATAGGGTTTTCTGAGAATGAAAGCAGAAGTGGAATGAGTGCAAATGATCTCATCTTGTTTTCTGCTTCTTTTGCAATACAAGATCTGGTACACTGATTCTGAAATCAATGCCACCACTGTCTGTGCATTTTCATTATTTAGATTAGAATATTAATGTAGCACAGAAAAGCTGTAGGAATTTTTTTTCATTACTGGCAAATGAAACCCAAGTATTTTGGAAGATAATGCCAAGAGAAGGCAAGCCAATATACAGAATGTTCCTGATTGCATGGGCTGTGCCGATGGAATTTAAAGCCAGGAAAAAGTAAGAGATAAGGGTTCTCACAGTCATAAATTCTTTGTTAAATTCTTAAAGTGGCAGGCTTGTATAAGCTGGAAGAAAAATCATTACAACATACTGCATAGGTAGTAATCCTATCCCAAATAAATATGCATTGACAAAAATTCTCAACATATGAATATGTTTACAATTTGAGAGAGAAGTAATATTTCAAATGTATCTTGGGAGTCACTTGATAGTGGATGGCATATATTAATTTAATGAATTTGTTTATATTTCATATTTTTTAACCACCTATTTCCCTCAGAGAGAGAGAGACTCTGGATGGTAAATAAATAAATAAAATAGTACTGTAAATATATGCCAAACACGAAATAGAAACAATTAAATAAATATTAGGTTTGTGCATGATTTGGAAAAATCTGTTAAATTATTCACTGTACAGTATAAGTCTTGATTTAGGAATACGTTATTTGTGAGTATGAATATTCTGTTATGCTAAATTAATTTTCTAATTAACTTTGTGATCTTTTGAATTGATTTTCCTCTGTTCAGACTGTGACAAAAATGTGTTTTAATAGACAATACGTTGTTTGCATTTAGCAAATGATTTAAAGATAAATACAATGAGTTTAAAATTCCAGAACATGCTTGAAGAATGTATAGTATCATACTTCTGATTCTGCATTAAAGGCAAAGAAGGACTATTTTCTATTTTATATATATGAAAAGGTTGAGTTGGAGATGAAAATCCTTTGCCTCGTGTTCATTTTCCTTGATAAAACCATAAAATACTCAGGACTGGATAGGAAGGGGTAGGACAAGGAGTAATTAAAGAGAACCTTCTGATTAGCTGTCACTGAGTGATGTTTTTAAAAAATGATCAACACTGAGTGATTTTGTTTTGAAAAGTAAACTCGTGAATTGAGCTCTAATTCTTTGTGACGGTATGGATAATTTTCTTGGCTAGAATATAGAAGTAGTTTGCCACTGCTATCTTCCAGGATGTTGTTGTTGTTTTTCTTCCAACTTCCCAGTTTATCCTTGTTGCTTCCTTGATGTCTTCCTTCTAGGGAGAACGAAACTTTCCCAGACATGCTAAAAAACTTCCCCTGCCCAGGGAAAGTCAAACATCTACTGAGACAAACCCATCCCAAAATTCTGTAAGACAAGAATATTTCTATTTTTGTAACAACCGAGTGTGAATCAGTGAGAATTACAGTATTTTAGAGACAGGAAGACTCCTTTGTTTTCAGGAATCAGGAATCAAATATCTGTCAAATCCTGTATGTTGCAAGTTAATGAAAACCAAGATCTGCAGAGCACATGGAACTCAGCTGCGGCTGGGTGTGTTCAACAGTTTGTCGCCATCTTCCCTAACTTACTGAAAAACAAGCTCTTCTTAATAGTGTGGGATTAAAAAACTCTACTCTGAAAGTATAGGTTGGGAATGTAGACTTTTAGTCAATGATGAAGCAGTTGCTTTGATGTTAAACTTCGTGTTCTATAATAATATAAAATGTATTCTATGTTACAGCTAGAGTGGTTTTCCATATTCCTGATTGGCTTCATCACATCTTGATGAGTGGAAGGATTCTTTTCAAAAATACCTTAGAAAAATATATAGACAACTACCTGCAATACAAACTAGAACAGCTCTTTCAGGAACATCGTCTGGTCTCACTGATAACACTTCTCAGAGGTTAGTAGAAAGCTGCAAATAAAGTGTTGTTATCAAAGATGTTGTTTAATTTTACTATGTTGCTCTGGGGCCAAGTCTCTGTTATTTATCATATTTTTCGGAGTATAAGATGCACCTTTTTCCCTCAAAAAAGAGGCTGAAAATCTGGGTGTGTCTTATACACTGAATACAGCATTTTTAGCCTCCTGAATACATAGCTTTTAGGAGGCTTCCAGAGTGCTCCTGGGGGCTAGGGAGGGCAAAAATGAGCAAAAACCAGACTATAAGACTCCTAAAGGCTATGTATGCCCCCCCCCTTTTTTTTTACAAAAAATTGGCTTGTTTTTGCGAAAAATGGCCCATTTTTTGCTCATCCTCCTCCCAGCCCCCAGGAACACTCTATAAACCTCCTAAAAGGTATGCATGCCCTTTTTTGACACAAAATGGGCCTGTTTTTGCAAAAAAAATGGGCCATTTTTGCTCATTTCCCCTCCCCCCCAGCCCCCAGGAGCACTCTACGAGCCTCCTAAAGGCTATGCATGCCCTTTTTTTGACAAAAAAATGGGACTGTTTTTGGGGAAAAAATGGACCATTTTGTGGAGGTCTGCAGAGTACAAAAACTTTTTTTTTATTTGCCTCTTCAAAATCTTGGTGTCTCTTTCATTTCATTCATTCATTTCATTTCATTTATTATATTTGTATGCTGCCCTTTTCCCCCGAAGGGAACTCAGGGCGGCTAACAAATCAAATCAGGGAGGGGGGGGGGGTACAGACAAAAAATTAAAAATAAACGATACATAATTTAAAAACACACAACAGTCATACCATTCAAGATGGGGGCAACAGCTCTTTAGCCCCAGGCCTGTCGGAACAGCCAGGTTTTAA